CCAGAAGCGGTGAATGCTCCAACACTGGAAGTTTTTAAGAAGAGATTGGACAGCCGTATGTCTGAAATGGTGTAGGGTCTCCTGCTTGTGCAGGGGGTTGGACTAGAAGACCTCCAAGGTCTCTTCCAGCTCTATTCTGATTGAACTCCTTGAGCCAGCAGCGTTGACCCACAGAAGGTGGAGCAGCTCAGAAATCAGGGCTGGTGAGGGAATATTATAGAGACCAAGACAATGAAGAGAAGGACAAGGGGGGACATGATAGCAGTGTTCCAATATCTCAGGGGCTGCCACAAAGAAGAGTTGGTCCAGACTATCTTAAAGCAGGGGTCTTCAAACTTGCTCCTTTTATGACTTGTGGACTTCAACTCCCAGAATTCCTCAGCCAGGCACGCTGGCTGAGGAATTCTGGGAGTTGAAGTCATAAAAGGGCCAAGTTTGAAGACCCCTGTCTTAAAGTGACCACAGTAGAGGGTGAATGCCTTAGAGACTTAAAGGGGATCTACCCAGTGCTAACTCTAACCCACTATAGAGGGAGCAAGGAGGAGACCCAGCACAATCACTGGCAGGATTTGGACATTACAGCCCCTCTCCAGCCGTCTTCCCCTCCCTAACCTTTCCTCTGTCGGGTGGATTTCCAAAGTGGAGCTGAGAGGTAGCCCGGACGGGGGACAGCGAGTTCCACGGAGGAGGAAGGACCAGGATCCAAACCTTCCACTACCCAATCAGTTCTTGGGCTGAGAGGGAGGGGGTGACCCAGAGTCCCCCAAGGGCCTTCTGCGACCAGGGGAGGGGTGTTTTCTCCCAGGCCAAAATTGGCAGCCTTCCTGGAGAACTGCCATGTTACTGGAAAGATGAAACCCTGCTCCCTTTATGTAATTGCTTCCCAACATGAGGAAGAAGGCAAGTTACAGGAAGCTGCACCGCTCAGAATAACAGGGGTGTCAAACTCAATTTCATTGAGGGCCGCATCAGCATTGCGGTTGCCCTGGGGGGGCGCAAATGGATGTGGCCAGGATGGGTGCAGTCTACTGGGTGGGCGTGGATGGAGTGGGTGTGGCCTACTGGGTGGGCGTGGCCAGCTCTACACCGTTCACGTCAAGGGGGCCTGTGGGGACCTGGGCAGGAGTGGGACAGATCTGAGGGTCTCTGGCAGAAGGGGGGTGGGACCAGGGCAAGTGTCAAGACATGGTCCACTGGAAGGCCAAGGCAGCGGGGGCCGTTCCCTCACTGTTTCCAGGATGGCTTCGTGGGCCACATGAAACCACTTCGCGGGCCGCATCCGGCCCCCCAGGCCTTGTGTTTGACATGTCTGACATAGAATAACTTCTAGTCCAACCTCTTGCTCAAGCAGGAGACCACATCTCACCTCAGACAAATGGATGCCCCACTCTTCCTGAAAACCTCCAGTGATTGAGGACTAGATTGGATCTCTCCTTGATCAGTTTCCATCCAGTGCCTCTTGCCCTCAGGTGGAGAACAGGTTGACCCCCTCTTTCTCTGTGACAGAATATTGGAAGAAGCTATCACGTCACCCCAGTCTTTCTCTCCACTAACTCTTCTGCACTTCTGTCCAACCACCGAAAAAGCTGCTGCCCAACTGTCCCTCCCCATCACAGGAATGCCCTAGAGGGGGGAGGATGTCCTGATGTTTTTCTCTCTGGTCTAACTTGACCCGTTTTCAAACTTGATCTTTCTACTGCTGGGGGAAGCCTTGGGTGCTATATCTATATATCTATGTTTTGTTATTAGTTGCGCAGTCGTGTCCGATCCATCGCGATCCCATGGACAACGTTCCTCCAGGCCTTCCTGTCCTCTACCATCTTCTGGAGTCCATTTAAGCTCACGCCTCCTGCTTCAGTGACTCCATCCAGCCACCTCCTTCTCTGTCGTCCCCTTCTTCTCTTGCCCTACATCTTTCCCAGCATCAGGCTCTTCTCCAGTGAGTCCTTCCTTCTCATTAGGTGGCCAAAGTCCTTGAGTCTCAACTTCAGGATCTGGCCTTCTAAAGAGCAGTCAGGGTTGATCTCCTCTAGGACTGACCGGTTTGATCGCCTTGCAAATGTACAATGTATAATATATCTATAATGTATCTGCTCTCATTTTGCTATAGCCGCTGCAGTATATCCTCTCCACTTCCCTCTATCTGCCTGCTCTTTGAACTATTTCCCATGATGCCAGCCTGGGGTGAGAAAGGAATGCATTTCTGGCCATCTGGCTTATCTCTGCCTGCGGAAGCGTCTTATCAACTCTGTTCCCACAGTGGGTTCACACCTGGTGATTGGCCTGTTTGAACTGACCAGATGGACTATTGGGGTGGGGTTAGCTGGATGCTCCTTTAACCTATTGATTTGCATGGGAAACTCTCAGATTCTGCCTTCTATGCCTGCTGTCAACTTCTCCTAATAAAAGTTCCTTTTTGAATGAAGCTGTTCCAGGAGTTCTGCTTTCTTAGGAGGGAGGATTGAGGTGGGCCCTTACACCACCACTACCCATCGCATTTAGGGCGGTGATTAAGATGCTGGGTTTATCAGCTGGAAAGCCGACAGCCCAGGTTTGAAACCCAAGCTTCACGCAATAGGGCGAGTGCCTGTCTTCGCCTCAGCTCCCGCCCACCTAGCAGTTCAAAAGCACGCAAATGTGAGCAGATAAATAGGTACCACTTCGGTGGGAAGGTAACAGTGCTCCGCAATGTCATGCTGGACACATGACCACGGAAATATCTCCAGACAGTGCTGGCTCATGGCCCTCAAAATGGAGGGGAGTGCTGCCCCCTATAGTCAGCAACTAGTGGAATAAAATGTGCAGGGATTCCTTTCCTTTCACTTCACATTTGGGACCACCTGCCCTGCTTTCCTCATACTTGCAATGCTACAGGCCAGTATGTGCTGTCATTTTAAACATCCTAAGTATTGCCCTGGGCAAGTTAACACATGCTGCCATTACAGCAGCTGCATTTTGTTTTAAAAATGCATCATTTGTAGATCAGCCTGCGATTGCTTTGTAAAATGACACCGAAGAATCTTGGAGATTCTGAAAAAAAAAAGGCCCGGCTGTCTGTAGAGAAATCCAGCACCACACTCACTGCACACAATGAAGCTCTTCCTCCAAGTTAGTTGTGAGGGAGGCGCCAACGCAGAGCCAGCTTGTAGACAGGTACTGCCTGCATCCCATGGATGCGGCTTTGCTAGTTTGTGCAGACCAGTGCCGGTCTAACCAGTTCCACTCATATAACGGTCAGTCCCACCTCCAACGGCAGTGTTGGCCTTCACCTCCCTTCATGCCCCCAACCCCCACTGGCCCTGTGGGAAGAAGGAAAAGATCCTGGAGGAATGTCTCAAGGGCACAGCAAAGCTCCTCGTGAAACTTTGACTCATCGGCTGAAACCCGAAACTCAATTTTCAGAGGCGATAAGGCCACAGCAAACTTGAGGATTACACATGACTGGAATAGTTCCTGCAGATTAATGTCTGGGGCACTCCTTGCATCATCCCTTAGTTTCAAATGCTTCCTCAAATCAGCCCTGTTCTCTAAGCCAACGCCTCCCCCGCCCTTGTCATACCCCTTCTTATGTAATGGGCTATGACCTCAACTTCTCCAAATGCTGGCTGCAGAAGGAACGGGCACCCCTTGGCACGCAGATCAGCCTTCCCCCTGCTGCCTGTTGCCACACCAGAAGAGGTGTGGCATTTTGGGAGGCCGGCAAATCTTTCCAAGCCAGCAAATACTGAGTAGCATCTTGGTGCTTCCGAGAATCTAGTATTTCCTTGATCTCAAAGTGTTGTTCTCCCTTGACCATATTAGGCTGTCGTGCAGGAGGTGCTGCTTTAGGCCAGAGGTCCCCAACCTTTTGGGCACCAGGGACCGGTTCCATGGATAAAGGTTTTTCTGCGGACCGTAGGGCAGGGCTTTTCAACCTTTTCACCCATTGTACCATTTTTAGGATATGGCAACATCCGAGTACCACCTGTCACCTAGCAAGGTGTCAAAAACCTGATGACCCCCCCAAAAAGGAAAATAGTGATAAAGTACAGGGAGTCCTCGACTTACAACAGTTCGCTTAGTGACTGTGCGAAGTTACAATGGCACTGAAAAAAGTGCCCCCCAAGCCACAGCCGAGCAAGACACCTGCCTGCCCACCCAGCGGCGCTCTTCCTCCTGTCCGAGGTTTTCATTGTTGTGAGCATTTCTGTTGAGGATTGGCAGTGGGGGTGGGGTGGGGGGTGTTTGGTTTTTATTCCCCCCGTCTGCTGGGTGGTTGCAGCAGGTTTTGGTCACTTCACATGATCCTGGGACACTGGGACCGTCATAAATATGAATCAGTGGCCAAGCATCTGAATGTAAATCACAAGACCCTGGAGATGCTGCAACATTCCAGCTGATCGGCGCTTCTCTTGGGCTCAGCAGAAGCGCCAGGATCAGCACGGAGCTCCAGCTGGAGCCTGGCACTGATCCTGGCGCTTCCACTGAGCCCTGACAGTCCCGAAGAAGCGCTGATCAGCTGGAAAGCGGCACTGATCCTGGCGCTTCCACTAAGCCCTGACAGCCCTGCAGCTCCAGCCGTCTCTCGCTCAGGCTTGTGCGGTGCTGCCATCGGTTCAGCTCATTCCCCTCCCCTGCTACCACTTTTCTAGGATGGTTGCGTACCACCTGCCAAGTGCCAATGTACCACAGGTTGTACCCGTACCACTGGTTGAAAAGCCCTGCCGTAGGGGACCTGGGTACGTGTACTGCCTGCATCCCGTGGATGGGGCTTTGCTTGTTTGTGCAGACAAGTGCCGGTCCAAAGACCGGGGACCCCTGCTTTAGGCCTTAAGGGCGAGGTTATCTCTGGTTTTAGCACTCTACACTGAAATACAGTGGATATGCCTTAAGTGTTTCTGGAAGCTCCAACTCCACTGTAACCGGATTTATGATGCGTTTTGACGGGAAACGCATCTTTGTACTTGGGCCCTAACTCCTTGGACGGCTGTAACGATTGCAAAACCAGAAGAGTTTCTTACTCTAGTTCCTTCTTCTTGGCCTCCTCACTGGTCAGGTCCTCCTCCACACTGTAGTCCAGCACGGAGCCCACGCCGTAGGCACGGTTGTGCCGGATGAGTGGCTTGATGGCTTCCTGGTCTTCTCCAGCCACAAACTGCCCATAGAAGGTCAGCTTCATCAGCTTCTCAAAGAGCCACTGGCCCAGCAGCTTCTGGCTGAGGTGCATCAGCTGTGGAAAGAGGGGGGGGGGCAGTCACAGGGCTGGCTTTCTCACTTAACCCCCCCCTGCCCCGGGGAGGTAGCCTCATGTACACGCTGATCCCATTATCTAGAAAAATGTTAATTCTTTTGCAAAACACTCCCTAGCACAGTGTTTCTCAACCTTGACAATTTTAAGGCACGTGGGCTACAACTCCCAGAATTTATTTATTTATTTATTTATTTATTTATTTATTAATTTAATTTATATACCGCCCTTCTCCCGCAGGACTCAGCGTAGCTGGCTGTGGAATTCTGGGAGTTGAAGTCCACGTGCCTTAAAATTGTCAAGGTTGAGAAACACTGATTCAGTTTCTTAGGAATAATAGTTCCTAGAGCTGTCACGGTTCATTGCTAAGAAGGGTAGATTCGAGCTTTGCTTTTTTTGCAACACCCACCCCTAAAAGTTGCTCCTTCCAAACTTCTCGCGTTCTTTTGGGTTGCTTGCAAAGGGCAGGCATGCATGGTTCGTGGACTGCTGCAATTCTGGGGACAATTCAAGCGGGAGTAACCTCGTCTCCCCCCCCCCCCCGATTTGACAACCCAACCTCTCCCCAACACCCCCGCGGAGCCAGTTGATGATGCCAGAAAAAGGGCAGCCTGCACCCAATCTTAGGACTCTCTTGGGGAGGGGGCTGCCACAAGCGCATTAAACCTCCTCCGTTATCGGAACAAGGGTCGGGGGTTGAGTAGCACTCGACAGCCTGTCAATCACGTCTTTCTTCTCCTTTGAAGATCCCCGTCCAAAACAACAGCCCAGTTTTAAGCAAGAGACACCGCCGCGTTTCTGTTAAATCTGCCTCCGAGGATGAAGGCTCGGAGCAGCCGGAAGGGGGCTCGGATCCACCCTTTCCCCGCAGCCGTTCGGCTCTTCCAGGAAGGCAGGACCGGCCGGATCCTCGCTCACCTGCTCGGCGCGCTGCACCAGCGGCTCCAGGGCGCAGAGGCGGAGCACCAGCAGCCCGCGCAGGAGCTCGCCGCTGCTCTTGCTCCGGAAAGCCTCCCGCGCATCCGAGAAGTTCACCGCCCGCGGCTGGGGCAGCGGCGGCGCCGGGCGCTGGCGGAGGTGCGTCCCGTGCGGGGGCACAGCGTCCGCGGGGACGGCCTCCTGCTCCGGGGCGGCCGGAGCCGGAGCCGCCACCGGGGCAGAGCGCGGACGCCTCGGGACGACGGCGACGGAGGTGGCGGCGCGGAGCACCCCGCGAGACGAGCAGCAGCAGCGCCCGGCCATGCCCGCGAAGTCTGGAAGGGCGAGCCGGCGCCGGCGCTCGCTTATATAGGCGCCGCGTCCCGCTGGCCGCGCCCACTCGCCGGGGGAGCCCCGCTGGGAACGGTTGATTGGTGGCTCCGCCGGCCCGGGCCACGCCCACTCCACAGCTTGCCTATTGTTCTCCGCTTCTTCGAGGCACGCCCACTTCAGGCCCCGCCCTCCAGCCCCGCCACGGGCAAGCAGGAGGCGCTCGGGAAGATTCCTGTGACTCCGGCGACGCCTCGCCCAACTTGGTGCCCTCCGGCCGGGCTGGGTGGCGAGAAGAAACGCTCCCCTTTGCCGCTTGGCGCGGAAAAGGGGAATTCGCCCCAGCGATTGGGGTCCTCCCTCCCCCCGCCCCACGGAAGCTCCCTATAGGCGGCCCCAGTGGAGAAGTTGAAGTTTGCGGAAGACGCAGGGAGGGAAGGAGGAAGGGCTGCCTGGGAAATTGCTGCAGCGCCCCCACCCTGCACACCCCTCCTCTCTGGACTTCTAGAAAGAGCTTTCTAGTGCCGTGGTGGCCCAGTGGTTAGAATGCAGCATTGCAGGCTAATTCTGCCCACTGACGGCAGTTCGATCCTGACCGGCTCAAGGTTGACTCAGCCTTCCATCCTTCCGAGGTTGGTAAAATGAGGATCCAGATTGTTGCTGACATTGTATACTGCATAGACAGTGCTCTAAAGCACTGTGAAGCGGTATATAAGTCTAAGGGCTATTGATACTGCTCTCCCTTGCCTTCCCTTCCTTCCCTCCCTCCCTCCCTTCCTTCCTTCCTGAAGCACAGTGGTTAGAATGCTGTACTGCAGGCTAACTCTGCTGACTGCAGTTCGATTCTCACCGGCTCAAGGTTGACTCAGCCTTCCATCCTTCCGAGGTCGGTAAAACGAGGACCCAGATTGTTGGGGACAATAGGCTGACTTTGTAAACTGCTTAGAGAGGGCTGTAATGCACTGTGAAGCGGTTCATAAGTCTAAGGCAGGGGTAGGCAACCATGGCTCTTTTATGACTCGTGGACTTCAACTCCCAGGATTCCTGAGCCAGCCATGCTGAGGGGAAAGGGAGAGGTTCCCAAGCTGAGCCAGGCTGGCTCAGGAATTCTGGGAGTTGAATTCCACGAGTCATAAAAGAGCCAAGGTTGCCTACCCCTGGTCTAAGGGATATTGCTAGTGCTATTGGTATGCCTTGGGATCTTGTAAAACTTCTGGGGGTGTTTTCTCCTTCTTTAAGAAAGGGCATTTCCTGGATTCGTCTGGATTCTGAGCCGGGTAATTTGGCACCGCAGCTGCTTTGCTAGTAGAGATGGCCATCGGAGGCTTCTCAGAAGGGTGTGGTGGTGGAAGGGCCTGTGGGACACACAGGCCCTTCCACCACCACACTTGACAGATGCTCAGGCCCATCTAACCAGGTGCACACTTGACAGATGCTCAGGCCCATCCAACCAGGTGCATAGGATCTGTGCTCCATCACTGGAGGCTTCAAGAAGAGACTTCCTTCCAATCCTATTAATCCATATTCTACGTTTTATCATAATCGTCTCCAGAGTCTGCCGTGAAAATCCAAACCAAGATCTTTCCTGAGATCCTGCAGGGTCTCAAAGATGAGGAAATAAAAGACCACAGGAAACACTTGTTTTTAAAAACTCTGGAAAAACCAATTGCCTTCTACTCAGTTTACATGGATCTCTTTCCTTGCATAACAAGCAGAATGCCCACCTTTTGGAGGCCGTGATCAAGTCCATGTGTTAGAACAGGGGTAGTCAACCTTGGCTCTTTTATGACCCGTGGACTTCAACTCCCAGAATTCCTGAGCCAGCTCTGGGAGTTGAAGTCCATGAGTCATAAAAGAGCCAAGGTTGACTACCCCTGTGTTAGAATAATGTGTTGTGGTTGATTGTGGTACATGCAGCAAACTATGCTTAAATTAACCTTTGTTTAGTGCAATGGGGAGGGGGAATCTAACCTCCTTTAGATGCCATCCCCAAAAAATAAAAATGAAAATAGAATATTAAATATATTGTATAAAGTAATAAAAACAATTACAAAATATTGTTGTATGGAGTGCCTCCTCTGTTTCAACCATGTTTCCCCCTGACTTTAATAACTTTTAGTCCCACTTTGGGCCAGATTACAAGCAATTTTATGACAGTGGAAGGAAGGATCTGAAGGCAGGACAAGAAGCAACGGATGGAAACTAATCAAGGAGAGAAGCAACCTAGAACTAAGGAGAAACTTCCTGACAGTTAGAACAATTAACCAGTGGAACAACCTGCCTCCAGAAGCGGTGAATGTGCCAACACTGGACGTTTTTAAGAAGAGACTGGACAGCCATTTGTCTGAAATGGTATAGGGTTTCCTGCCTGAGCAGGGGGTTGGACCAGATGTCCTCCAAGGTTCCTTCCAACTTTATTATTATTATTACTATTGCTATTACTATTACTATTATTATTATTAATAATAATAATAATTCATCAGTTGGATTCATTGTCAACGACTGTAAGCGAGTATGGACTTCAATATAGAGAAAAGTAAGGCATTGCACTTAGGCAAGAAAAACAAAATGTGCAGGTACAGATAGGTGAAACTTGGCTCAATAGCAGTAACTGTGAGAGGAATCTTGGCATCCTAGTGGAACATGAGCCAACAATGGGCGGCAGCAGCCAAAAAAGCCAACACAATTGTCAGAATCCAATTATATTTCATGTCTATCTACCTACTCTGATGAAAAACCAATTCTTATTCTATTCTGGATTCTGCCATACTACGAAAAGGGAGGAGGGTAAGCATGGGGGGGTTTATGACTCTCCCTTCCTTAACTACAAAGTGACCGTTTGTGGATTCTCATGGAGAGAACTAACCATAACAATGTGGCCATCGCCTTTCATCTCACTCCTCTTTGCCGGCAGTGAGGGAAAAGGGGGTGGGAAATACAACGCCTGGGATCCGGGGAAAAGAGGATGAGTGATCGTGCCGAGGGAGCGGACTGATGGATTGAATCGCCCGGAAGAACTGTGGGGTGGGGACTGCTTGGGAACACTTTAAAACATTGAATGGTGGGAGAGGATTCCCCAGATCCTGTCTAGGATGCCTGCAATCAGCTTCTCTTAATAAAGATCCCTGTTGGAAGAGCATTCCAAGAGTCCTGTCTTCTTAAGATGTAAAATTGAGGTGGGTCCTTACAACAGTCCTAGGCTGCATTAACAGAGGCATAGAATCAAGATCACATGAAGTATTAATATCGCTTTATAAAGCCTTAGTAAGACCACACCTGGAATACTGCATCCAGTTTTGGTCACCAATGGATGGAAACAAACCAAAGAGAGAAGCAACCTAGAACTAGGGAGAAATTTCCTAACGGTGAGAACAATTAACCAGTGGAACAGCTTGCCTCCAGACGTTGTGGGTGCTCCATCACTGGAGGCTTTTAAGAAGAGACTGGGTAGTCTAGAATGGTGTAGGGTCTCCTGCTTGAGCAGGGGGTTTGGACTGCAAAATCCCTTCCAACTCTGTTATTCTATGTTTTGATTGAATTAGTTTGGCCATTTTTGTCCCAAGTTAAAAGTATTTTCTTCTCTGACCGCCTGACAGGCCTCTCCTCTCCCCATTCCTTCAAGAACACCTTTTATGATGCTGGTGGACCTCCAATCCACTTTGTTTGGCTCCCAAGCAGCTCAAAATCATGAAGTGCAATGGCACCTCTCCCCCCCCCCCAATTTTAGGCTGCAAGAATTCTGTTTTCCCCCCTTAAAAATATACTAGATGGATCCAGCCTTCCCACTTCCAGAGATGTCACCCCATTGCTCCAAGCCACGTGTGGCCGCTTTCCTCCCATATGCCCTCAGATTTTGCCCACCTTTGCTGACACATCCACTTCCTTTTCAAGCCGACTTCATCTATCCAGTCTCGGGCATTCCATTTGTCTTTCGGTCCCCATGATTCATGACCAAACCAGACTGAGGTGATGGGACAGCTGGAGGAGGAGAGTGGTGGAAGCCTGGCATTCAACCATGCTCCCAGTAGATCTGATTGCTCCAGGTTTGGCTTTCAGAATCAGAACAGAGCTGGAAGGGACCTTGGAGGTCTTCTAGTCCAGCCCCCTGCTCAAGCAGGAGCCCCTATATCATTTCAGACAAGTGGCTGTCCAGTCTCTTCTTCAAAACCTCCAGTGATGAAGCACCCACAACTTCTGAAGGCAAGCTGTTCCACTGGTTAATTGTCCTCACTGTTAGGAAGTTTCTCCTAGGTTGCTTCTCTCCTTGAGTTTACATCCATCGTTTCTTGTCTTGCCTTCTGGTGCTTTGTGGCAGTCCCTCAAATACTGGAATACTGCTATCATGTCACTCCTTCTTTTCTCTAGACTGGCCATACCCAATTCCTGCAGCTGTTCTTCATATGTTTTAGCCTCCTGCCTTTGATCATCTTAGTTGCTCTTCTCTGAACTTTTTCCAAAATCTCAACATTTTTTTGCAATGTGGTGACCAAAACTGGATGCAGGATTCCAGGTGTGGCCTCACTAAGGATTTATAAAGTGGTACTAATACTTCTGGTATTGAAACATTAAGAAAACCAAGATCATGGCATCCGGCCCTCTCAGTTCCTGGCAAATAGATGGGGAAGAAATGGAGGTAGTGACAGATTTTATCTTCCTGGGCTCCAAGATCACCGCAGATGGGGACTGCAGCCAAGAAATTAAAAGACGCTTGCTCCTGGGGAGGAAAGCTATGGCAAATTTAGACAGTATACTAAAAAGCAGAAACATCACCCTGCCAACAAAAGTGCGTATAGTCAAGGCCATGGTTTTCCCAGTTGCAATGTATGGCTGTGAAAACTGGACCTTAAGAAAGGCTGAGTGCCAAAGAATGGAGGCCTTTGAACTCTGGTGCTGGAGAAGACTCCTGCGAGTCCCCTGGACTGCAAGGCGATCCAACCGGTCAGTCCCGGAGGAGATCAACCCCGACTGCTCTTTAGAAGGCCAGATCCTGAAGT